GAGGACCTATTCTGGGTGACCCGGGAGCCTCACACAGGGGAGAGAACAGGAGGGAACTCAGCTGCTGCCACCTCTGCACTCAGCTCAGACCCAGCCGCGGTGACTGCAGACAGAGGCTAGGTCCCCTCCAACTGGGCAGGAAGCTCCCTGAGAGCAAGGACTGTCTCTCCCATCAGAACGGAAACTCCCTGAGGGCAAGGACTCTTTGTCCTTCAGACTGGGAGCTCCTGAGCGGGTGCCCCTGTGACGTGAGCCTAGCCTAGCACCCCAGGCATCCTGGGACACCTTCTCAGCAGCCTGGCCACTCCCCGCCCCCGGACACCTGTCTCTGCCACTCTGCCTTCCGCCCAGGCTCCTCCCGGCGACCGCAGCAGAGCAGCGCTGACACTGGGCAGTGCTCGTCAGCGCCACCCTGACCTCGGCAGCCCCAGAGGTGGCGCAGTGAGTGGCCTAACGGGCCGTGCCAGGGATGGGACGTGACTGCCCCCCCCCCAGCTCAGCTGCAGGCTTGGCCATGAGGAAAGCGATACCTCAGGGAGGCGGAGTGACCAGTGACATCAGCGTACGTGACTGTCAGCCCAGCTCTCCCCTCTGCCCTCCACCCTCCCCACCCCACAGTGCCTGCTGAGTACACTGACCTTCAGCTCACGGGCACAGGCCTCTCCGTGTGCCCACTCCAAGGACAGGGGCGGTACTCAGGGGGAGGGGGCTGCTCTCTGACTCTGCGTCTTCTAAGTGAGCACCCGTGAGATGGAGGGGGCCACAGGCCCCAGCCCCGCCCCCAGCCTGAACTTCTGGGTTGGGAGCCAGCTGCCTACTGGGTGACCCCCCTGCTGGCAGCAGTGCCCTGAGGGAATTGGTCATTCTCTTGGCTCTGCTAGCCCTTCCTCCTGAGTGCCTGGCAGGCTTCCGGTGACTGGAAGCCAGTGTAGAGGGCACCTGGCTCCCCACACCAAGCCTGCTGACGGAGCTGCCAGGCCTGCATCCCTGGGGGCAGAGGCCCAGCCCAGATGGGCGGGGCTGGATGGCCCAGGGAGGCAAGTTCAGCCACCTTGAATGACCACCGTTTGCCCCTGGGGTACCTTCTGGAGAATCCTGTTGCTGCAACAGCACTTCTCAAGTGTCCCGCTAGACCCCACCCGAGGAGTGCCAGGTCCAGCATCCAGACGTAGCTTCCAGGCCAGGGCAGACCAGCCAGAGCCACCAAAAACTAGACCAGCAGTTGCCACATTCGTTCCATCATGCACTCCTATCAGTAAATAGGATTTGAGCATGCGTCTTAGTATAGGTATATTTCTTTACTTAAAAATTATGTATGTGAACGCCAACATTGCAGCCTGGCCAAGGCATAATACTAGCTGGGGTGAACAAAAATCGTCAGAACAGCAGGACACTGAGCAGGGATATCCAGAAACAAGAAAGGCATAGTGAGCCTTGAGACGCTCCCACATCTTCCTGGGGGTGTGGAAGGGCTGGACAGGCCTTGACCATCTACACTTCCCTGGCTGAGCACACAAAGAGTAAAACTTGGAGGCGGCTGGTAGTTTGAATGGGCTCGCCAACCCACACACAGATCCATCGGCAGAGGGTAGAAGACTTACTGGATCAAAGTATTTCAGCACAAGCTATGACCAGTCGTTGGCTGACCACTAAGCTATGCTGACCCAGGGGCAATTCATAGGAAGCCAGGCTGAAAATTAAAACAAGAATCTAAAACAAAGAAAATAAACTGTGCATAGATATCAGCAGCCTCATGCTATAAGGAAGACAAACTCCATAGAATTAGTTGAGGCAAGTCACTAGACAACAGCCAACCAAAAATAAATGAAAAAACTCAGCAATAATAACCCTCGTGGTGGCGGTAGTGGTGGAAGCAGTGAATCAAAATTCAGAATTGCTACAATGTGTTATCTAAGATGTCCAATTTTTAACAAGAAACTATAAGACATGTAAATAAACAGGAAAATGTGATCCATTCAGAGAGAAAAGAAAAACAGTAGAAACTGTCTGCAAAGTTCCCAGATGTTGCATTTGGCAAACAAAGACTTCAAAGTAGCTGTTATAAATGTGTTAAGAGAACTAACAGAAACTGTGTGCAAAGAATTAGGGAAATGCTCACCAAATGATTCATCAAATACAGAATATCAATAAAGCGGTAGAAATTATATTTAAAAGAAAAGATCTGCAAATTCTGGATTTGAAAAGTACAATAACTGCACTAAAAAAAATCACTAGAGGAGTTCACAGCAGCTGTGAGCTAGAATAATAAAGAATCAGCAAACCTAAGTGTAGATCAACTAAGATTATCCAACTTGAAGAACAGAAAAGAAGAAGAAAAAAAAATAAAAAGAATAGGCTGTGCACAGTGGCTCATGCCTGTGATCCTAGCACTTTGGGAGGCCAAGGTAGGAGGATCACTTGAGCTTAGAAGTTCAAGACAAGCCTGGGCAACAGTGAGACCCCAGCCCTACAAAAAGTTTTTTTAAAAAAATTAGCCAGGTGTGGTGGCACACACCTGTAGTCCCAGCTTCTCAGGAGGCTGAGGCAGAAGGATCGCTTGAGCCCAGGAGTTTGAGGTTGCAGTGAGCTATGATGACACCATTGCACTCTAACTTGGGCAGTGGAGCAAGACCTTGTCTCAATAAAAGAAGAAAGAGAAGGATAAGCATAAAGAAAAGGAAAGAGAGAAATAAGAGAGAGAAATGAGAGAGAGAGAGAGAGAGAGAGAGAAGAGGAGAGGAGAGGAGAGGAGAGGAGAGGAGAGGAGAGGCTGTTCACAGCCCTGTGGAACATCATCAAACATACCAATAAACACTTAGAGGGAGTTCCAGAAGAATAGAAAAGGGAGAAGGGGGAATAATAAATATTTGAAGAAATAATAGCCAGAAAGTCCCCAAATTTGATGAAAAACATAAATTTATACATCTATACAAAGTCCAAGTAAGATAAACACAAAAAAATCCATAGACATCATAGTAAAACTGTTGAAAGACAGAAACAGAGAAAACCTTGACAGCAACAAGAGAAAAATGAGGCATTACATACAAGGGAACTACAATATAATTAACAGCTGATTTCACATCAAAAACAATGGAGGCTAGAAGGAAGTGGGATGGCATATTCAAAATGCTGAAAGAAAAAAAAAAAAAACCTGTCAATCAAGTAGTCCATATCCAATACAAGTATCCTTCAAAAATGAAGCTGAAATAAAGACATTCCCAGAAAAACAAAGAGTGAGAATTTATTGCTAGCATGCATGCCTTACAAGAAAAACTAAAGGAAGTCCTTCAGGCTGAAAAGAAATCACACCAGATAGTGACATGAGTCCACTTGAAAAAATAAAGAGCACCAAGAAAGGTAATTACATAGGTAAATATAAAAGACACTATAAATGCATTTTCTCTTTCCTTCTTTCAACTTATTTAAAAGCTAATTGCACAAAATAATAATTATAAAACTACATTTGACCATGGGTTAGAACTGCATGGATACATTTCTACACAGATTTTTAAAAAATACATATATTGGAAAATGTTTTGGAGATCTGCAACAATTTGAAAAACTTTCAGAAGACAAACTACATAGCCTAGAAATATCAAAAATATTAAGAAAAAGGTACGTCATGAACACATAAAATAAGTGCATATACATCTATTTATCATTTACTATTATAAAATATGTGCAAATCTAATATAAAAAGTTAAAAGCTATCAGAACTTACGCATACAAACACAGACAAAACATGGCATCATTCATAGTCAAGAAAAATGTAAACGAACATAAAGATGCACCATGAAATCATAACTGCATAAGATAACTAGAGTACACACTGTACCATTGTAATAATTTCATCGCCATCTCCTGTTGCTATTGCAGCGAGCTCAAGTGTTGTGAGTATCCACTTAAAATGATGCGTGACACTAATCATCTCTGTGTGAGCACTTCACCTCTCCAGTAAATTGTGTGTCACAGGAAAAAGCGATCTCTTGTGGTTCTCATGTATTTTTCATTGTATTTAGTGTAATACTGTGAACCTTGAATAACATCATGAGATCTATACAAAGTGGCACTAGTGATGCTGGAAGGGCACCCAAGAAGCAGAGAAAAGTCACGACATTACAGGCATAAGCTGACTGGCTTGATGTTTACCATAGATTGAGGTCTGCAGCTGTGGTTGCCCACCATTTCAAGACAAATGAATCCAGTGTAAGAACCACTGTAAAAAAAAAAAAAAAAGAAAAGGAAATTTGTGAAGCCATCACTACAGCTATGCCAGCAGGCACAAAAACCTTTTACTTTTGCAAAATACCTTTCAATATTTTGTATTGAAAGTGCAGCTTTTATGTGAGTGCAGGATTGCTATAAGAAGGGCATACTTACAGATTCTGATATGATTGAAGAAAAAGCAAGGTCATTACATGACAACTTAAAGCAAAAGAAAGGTGGAGGATCTAAAGCTGGAGAATTTAATGCCAGCAAAGGATGGTTTGATAATTTTAGGAAGAGGTTTGGCTTTGAAAACATCAAGATAACAGGAGAAGCAGCTTCTGCCAACCAAGAGGCAGCAGATGAGTTTGCAGAGACCACTAAGAAAATAATTGAGGAGAAAGTATATCTGCCTGAATAGGTTTTTAATGCAGGGGAAAGTGTCCTATTCTAGGAGGAAAATGCCACAAAGTACATTTATTAGTAAGAAAGAAAAGTGAGCACCAGGATGGAAGGCAGGAAGGGCTAGGATAATGCTACTGTTTTGTACAGATGCAGTTGGGTTTATGATGAGATCTGTCCTTAGCCATAAAGCTGCCAACCCCTGAGCCTTGGAGGGAAAAGATAAACACCAGCTGCCAGTCTTTCGGTTGTACGACAAGAAAGCCTGCACAATGAGAACACTCTTTCTGGATTGGTTGCATTAATGCTTTGTCCCTGAAGTCAGGAAATGCCTTGACAGTGAGGGACTGCCTTTTAAAGTTCTTTTGGACAGCGGACAGCGGGGCTTCAAGATGGTGTCAGTCATACCAGTGAAGGAGAAGAAACCCATGGATGTCAAACTAGGGGAGCTGCCAAGCTGGATTTTGATGTGGGATTTCACCCCTGAAGGCATTGTTGGAGCCTTTCAAAGAGGTTACTACCGGTATCACAACAAGTACATCGATGTGAAGAAGGGGAGCTTTGCTGGGATTTCTATGATACTGGGAGCTTATGTGCTTTTCAACTACTGCCTTTCTTACAAGGAGCTGAAACATGAGCGGCGACGCAAGTACCACTGAAGAGGGGACCATGCCGGGGGCGTACTCTGCACTTGTGACCTTGACCTTCTTGGCCCTGGACCCTCTGTGAGGAACTCCATCATTGCTGAATCCCTTTCATATCCTAGTGACAATTGACCTCCAAATAAAAGATGACTGGTATGTGTAAAAAAAATAAAATAAAGTTCTTTTGATATTGGCCAGTGCCCTGGACCACCTAGAACCCCAAGAGTTTAACACTGAAGGTGTCAAAGTGGTCTATTTTCCCTCTAACACAACATCTCTAATTCAGCCTCTAGATTGGGGGGCTTATAAGGACCTTTAAGGTTCATTACATAAAGTACCCTAAAGAAAGGGTTGTCACCACTATGTAAGAGAACTCAACAGACAGAACATCATGAAAGGCTGGAAGAACTACACCATTGAAGACGCCATCATTGTTACAGAAAAAGCTGTGCAAGCCATCAAGCCCAACACAATAAATTCCTCTTGAAGAAAACTGTGTCCAGATGTTGTATATTGACTTCACAGGATTTACAACAGAGCCAGTCACGGAAATCATAAAAGAGATTGTGGATATGGCAATAAAAAAGGGGGTGGAGGGGTGAAGAGTTTCAATATATGGATCTTGGAGAAATTCAAGTGCTAATAGACACCACACCGGAGGAATTAACAGAAGACAACTTGGTGGGGATGAGCGCTTCCAAACCAGTGCCTGATTATGAGGACAAAGATGTAGAAGACACGGTGCCATAAAACAAATTGACAAGAGATAATCTGGCAGAAGGGTTCTGATTATTCAAAACTGTTTTTGCCTAATTTAATTTAATTCTATTTTATTACAGAATATTACGGGGGTACAAATGCTTTGGTTACATAAATTGCCTTTGCACCACCTGAGTCAGAGCTACAAGCATGCCCATCCCCCAGACAGTGCACACCGCACCTGTTAGGTGTGTGAATTTACCCATCCTCCTCCTCCCCCTCCCATCTGCCCGACACCCGATGAGTGTTACTTCCATCTGTGCACATAAGTGTTGATCGATTAGTACCAATTTAATGATGAGTGCATGTGGCGTTTGTTTTTCCCTTGTTGTGATACTTCACTTAGAAGAATAGGCTCCAGCTCCATCCAGGATAATACAAGAGGCAGTTCACCGTTTTTATGGCTGAGTAGTTCTCCATGGTATACATACACCACATGATTCTTCTATGATACGAGCACAGAAACTAAAGCAAACGATGGGAGAAGAATTGGTACTGTATAGAAACCATTTTTAGAGAAATGAAAAAGCAAAAGAGTCAGACAGAAATTCAATGTATTTCTGTAAAGTTACTCCAAGTGTGCCTACCCCTCCTGTCTCCCCTTCCACCTCCTCCACATCTTCCACCTCTGCGAGACTAACTCCCCCTCTTCCTCCTCCTCCTCAGCCTACTCAATGTGAAGATGATGAGGATGAAGACCTTTATGATTATCTACTTCAACTTAATGAATAGTATATATATTTTCCCTTCCTTATGTTTTTCTTAATAACATTTTCTTTTCTCTAGCTTGCTTGGTTGTAAGAATACAGCATATAATACATATAACATATGCTATATAATGCATATAATATGTGCTGATCAACTTTTTACATTATCAATAAGCATTCTGGTCAACAGTAGGCTATTAGTAGTTAAGTTTTGGGGGAGTCAAAAGTTATACGTAAAATTTCAACTGTGTGGGTGGTTAGCACCCCAACTCCTGCATTGTTCAAGGATCAACTGTAAATTGTTGGGCTTATAATGCATAAAGATATAATATATATGATAATAGCACAGTTGGGTGTGCACCTGTAGTCCCAGCTACTCAGGAGGCTGAGGCAGGAAGATCACTTGAACTCAGGAGTTTGAGGTGTTTGTGAGTTATGATGATGATGCCACTGCACTCTACCTGGGGTGACAGAGCAAGACTCAAATAAATAAATAAATAAGACGAAAGAAGAAATAGAGAATTTAACAATAATAGTTGGAGATTTCCTTACTCCATTCTCAACAATGTATAGGACAACTAGACGGAAAGCTAGCAAGAATTTTCAAGACTGGAAGAACACTACCAACCAACTTAATCTGCTATCTACAGAACACTCCTCCCCCAAACAGCAGGAATATACATTCTTTCTAAGGGAACAAAGAATGCGCACCGAACAGACCATATGGTCAGCCATAAAATAAGTCTCAGTAAATTGAAAAGGATTAAAATCATACAAAGTATGTTCTCTAACCACCAAAGAATTAAATTAGAAATCAACTACAGAAGAAAATGTGGTAAATGCAGAAATATTTAGAAATTAACACATTTCTAAATAACTCATGGGTCAAAAAAGAAATCACAATGGAAATGTTAAAGTATTTTGAACTGAATGAACATAAAGATACAATGTGTCAAAACATATAGAATTCAGTTAAAGCAGTGCTAAATAGTAAATTTATAGCTTTAAAAACATATATTAGGAGCCAGACACAGTGGCACACCCCTATAGTCCCAGCAACTCAGGACGTGAAGGTGGGAGGATCACTTGACCCCTAGGCAACATAGTGAGACCCCATTCCTTAAAAAAAAATTTTAAACTCTAATAAAAACATGTATTAGAAAAAGAAGAAAGATGCCAAATCAATAACCTAAACTTCCACTGTAAGAAATGAGAAAAAAGAACAAACTAAACCCCAAACAATCCAAAGCAAGGAAATAATAAAGATTAGAGCAAAACTGATGAAATAGAAGACAGAAAAACAGAGAAAAATCAATGAAACCAAACTGTAAAGGTCAATACAATTGACAAATCTTTAGCTAGACTGACCACGAAAAAAAGAAAAACACACAAATTGCCAAAATCAAAACTGAAGGAGAAACCATCGCTACTAACCTCCCAGGAGTTAAAAGAATGAGGAATACTGCCAACAACTTTCAGCCAACAAACTAGGCAACTTAGATGCTTAAAATCATTAATCATCAGAGAAATGCAAATTACAACCACAAGGAGATACCACTTCACACCTGCTAGCAGTGACTAAAGTCACAAAGACAAACGATAACAAGTGTTAGTCCCAATGGAGAGAAATGGGAACCCACACACCCTGCTGGTGGGAATGTAAAAATCGTGGGGCCACTTTGAAGATATTTTGGCAGTTTTTTTAAAAGAGTTAAACATAAATTACCACATGATATGGCAATTTTACTGCTAGGTATATAACCAAGATAAATGAAATCCACACAAAACCCGCAAATGTTCATGGCAGCGTTATTCATAACAGACAAAAAGTGGAAACCACTCAAATAACCATCCACTGGTGAACAGATCAAGAAAGTGTGGTATATCCACATGACAATGCTATTCGACCATCAAAAAGAACCAAATACTGGTACATATTATAACCTGGGCGAACCTCAAAGACATTACTCTAAGTTCAAGAACCAGACACAAATGCCACCGACTGTATGATTCCATTTACATGAAATGTCCAGGAAAGGCAAATCTATAGAAACAGGAAAGTAGATTAGTGGTGGCCTGGGTAGGATCAGGGTAGGAAGCAGGACTGACTGCAGATGGGCAGGAGGGATTTCTTTGGGAGTGATAGAAATATTCTAAAATTGGATTGCAATGATAGTTGCACTACAAATCATTGAATTGTACATTTAAAATGGGTGAATTTTATGGTATACAAGTCATACTCAATACAGTTCTTTTAAAAATTATTTATTTGTATTACATATGAGATATACATTTATGGGGCCAGGCGCGGTGGCTCACGCCTGTAATCCTAGCACTCTGGGAGGCTGAGGTGGGAGGATTGCTCAAGGTCAGGAGTTTGAAACCAGCCTGAGCAAGAGCAAGACCCTGTCTCTACAACAAATAGAAAGAAATTAACTGGCCAACTAAAAATATATAGAAAAAATGAGCGGGCCATGGTGGAGCATGCCTATAGTCCCAGCTACTCAGGAGGCTGAGGCAGAAGGATCGCTTGACCCCAGGAGTTTGAGGTTGCTGTGAGCTACGCTGACGCCACAGCACTCTAGCCCAGGCTACAGAGTAAGACTCTGTCTCAAAAAAAAAAAAAAAAAAAAGAAATATACATTTATGAAAAAAGTAGAAATGTTAGAGGATGAGATTAAATACATATAACTCAACTTCTAGTAATTTCTTTCTGACCGTTTCCCACTTTGGAAAACACTGGATTCAACTACAAGGAAGGGTATATGCGGTGCCCGGGTTAAGGATGTGAGCACTAGAGCCAGGCAGCCTGGGTTCGAATCTCAGCTGTGCCATATGCTAGCTGAGTACCTGTGGGGAAGCAATAGAACCTCTCCAGGTCTGTCTCTCATTTGCAAAATGGGACGATGAGAATAATAGCAATTAAGCTCCTGGGAAGGGGCAAATGGTCAGGGCCACTCCCACCCCATCGCTAGGGTGACTCCTGGAAGCAGGTCCATTGCTCCTTAGGAGCCTTCCTCATCCCCAACTCCCGGGCAAGGCAGGCTCACAAAGCAATCCATAAAGTGCCTACTGTGTGCTCAGCACCACGCAGGCAGACTGCAGGGCGATGCTCCCCCACGCCAGACGCACTCAACATGCAGACTGTTTCACCAGAGTTCTCTCCATTGCGCAGGACGGGGAGACTGAGGGCCCAAGAGAGGACACTGGCTCTTCAGAATATACGCAGGGCTTGCGCTTCCAGAAAGAACTGTGGAAAAGAAACGTCAAAAGTGCAATGGCAAAGAGAGGGCACAGGAGGGTGGAGGAGGGATGGCCGTGCACGGAGGAGCAGGGTGCAGGGAGCTGCAGGCCGGGGCGCTGTGAGGAGCTGCTGAGGAGCTGCCGGTGAGCGCCAGCCTCTGCAGAGCAGGGAACCTGGGGCCACCCCGCCAGCCAGAACCCCCGCGGGTCACGTGAGGGGGCGCCTCGCTGCTCTCGGGCCAGCCCAGCCATCCCCACGCCCATCGCGCCGCTTACCTCGTCCAGTCCTCGCTGGGCCCCAGGATG